CAAACATGGAGAATAACTATAAGAGCATACGGTCAATAACATCAGTCATAAGCCCCTCCTCCCTCCCTTCCATCTCACCCTCCCTCCTTTCCTTTCTTCCTTTCTTTCCTTCTTTCATCTTTGGACAGGACATAATTTGGAACACATCATCCCTTAGCACCTTCGCTTACCTTGCATACATGTGTGAAAAACTGGTGTAATTGCACGTGTTTGTAAAGTATCGATTTTAGAATCTGCAGCTTCCAGGTAAACATTTATTACTGAGTCCACACGGCTGTCATCACCCTCTGGTCCTGTCTCCGCTGCCTCTCTCCCCTGACTCTCTCCCCTGCTCCTGCTAAATGACTGGGGGGTTCTGAGAAAGCAGATGAGCAGGCAGGAGGAACGGGAGCAGGCAGACTGGGCTGGAAAGTGTGGCTCTGGCTCAAGGCGGTGCCACAAGCTGTGATTGATGCAAGACCCCTCAAATCAACATGTGAAATCGAGTTTCTTTCTTTAAAAAAAATCGTGTTTCTTCCCTGAACTTTCTCTACCCGAGGGCACCGATCATCAGTGAAAACACAGGTAAGACGTGCTTGTAAAATTCAGGACGGTTCATCGGTGAGCACCTTTTCCGGCTCATCTAACGCTGATGAAACACAAGCACCTGGGAGGGTCCGGACTCTCCTCTCCTCTCTGCTTCTTCTGACCCAGAGGCTCCAGAGCAGGGAGACTGGTAGGGCCCATTACTAACGCACATGGACTGGTGACCCCAAAAGCATGGAGCTCTCAGATGCTGGATCCTGCCCTTCCTCCTCAGTCACCCCCCGAGGGACAAAGGGGTGCCTGCAGGGGCAACCTCTGCAGGCCTTGGTGTTTCACTAGAGCTCAACCAAAAGTAAGAGCCTATGTTTCAGTAGGGAGGCATCTCTCCATAGATACTAAAGTTAGTGCTGTCCACTTCATTTTCTGTATTTTGATTTTAGCTTTCTAACAGTGAGAAACACCTTTTGGATTTTTATCCAACTCTCTGTCTCCCCTGAAACAGCGCTCATTCTTTAGGACTGATTGTTTGTGCCACCACCCCCCTTCCTCTGCTTCTAAGAAGAGAATGCCCCCTGCTTCCATGACAATTTTTCTTTTAAATGTGTCCCATTAACCTACTTAAATGCCTACCCGTAGCAACAGGGGGAATTTTATTAAAGGGAGAGCAGGATACTCCGCTGTTATCATCTCTATTTTTCACAACGTGGAAATGCTACTATTACAAGGACTGTGCAGCACCCACACAGTGTAAGTCTCCTCCACAATCTGTTCATTCCCCTACTGAAGTTTAAATTACAAGATACGGGAGACGAAGCCCCTTTAGCTCATATTTTCGTCTCTTTTAGCTGGTGTCTGGTTGACTAGATTTCTTTTAAGGAAGCAGGCTCTTGTACCTCCAGCCTATTTAACACTTAGCACCATAGCACATAGGCTGTCATTTTACTAGGTATGCATGACGTAACACCCATGATTTGAGAACAGCTTTGTCTGTTTCAGTCTCTGTCCACTGACGTGTGTGACTTTCATATTGCATGCTTTTCCTATCCTTGAATAAGGAATGCCTTCCTGTCTCTTGTTTCCTTAATCACTTATTAGCTCCATGACAGTTAAATCAACCTACTAGGCACATATTAGAATAACAAGCCGGGGTCAGGAGCAGTGACTCATGCCTGTAATCTCAGCACTTTGGGAGGCTGAGGTGGGTGGATCACGAGGTCAAGAGATCGAGACCATCATGGCCAATATGGTGAAACCCGTCTCTACTAAAAATACAAAAATTAGCTGGGCATTGTGGCACGCGCCTGTAGTCCCAGCTACTCGGGAGGCTGAGGCAGGAGAATGGCGTGAACCCGGGAGGCAGAGTTTGCAGTGAGCCGAGATTGCGTCACTGCACTCCAGCCTGGGCGACAGAGCAAGACCGTCCCCCTCCATCAAAAAAAGAAAGAAACCAAGCCTCAGATCCTATTAAAACACGGCCAAGATGAGAAATATGGATGATGGATGCATCCCATTAAAAAAGTAACGTTTTGTGAGTCAGTTAAGACAGCCTCACTGATGACTCTGGATCATCACTGCTCTAATTAACCTTATACTTAGATGTGCTGCTTGATGATATTGTGTGTAAAAATTAAATAAAGCATAAACATTTAAAAGATGCGGATGAATTACACCAAGGATTTGTCCCATCCAGTGTGTTTGCAAGATCAACTGGCATTTTCAAATGCAGAGCAGGCTCAGCCTGAGGAGGACAGAAGTTAGACCCCTGTCTATTCTAATGTTGTTGAAATGCAAATCCTTTTTGGTCAAGGAACAATGTCATAATACCTGAGGCACAAGAGCAACTGTGTGGAAATTGGAGCTGGGCCCTTCCACTATAGTAAAACACAGATTGAGACCTTTGCCTGACTGTGTAGGGGACAGCTTTGTGCCTCCATCTGAAAATATCAAACTCTATTAATATAGGCAACAATCTACTAAAAAGTACCTGAGATACAGCTACTGTGTATGGCACAGGCATTCATTTCCACGTTCTCTTACATCCATGATGATGTGTCACGGAGTTGTACCACATTAGGTCAATCAAATTAGCACCCATAATATTCTGGGGCCAAGGGGATTGGAAGTACAGAAAGGTTAAGAGAGAGAAAGATGGAAAGACCAGGGAAGAATAACTCAAATGGGTGGATGGACAGATGGATGGATGGATGGATGGATGGATGGATGGATGTGTGTGTGTGTATGTCTATGGAAAAAGGAAGGGAGGGAGGGAGGAGAGGAAGCAAGGAGGAAGGAAGAGGGAGGAGAAACAAGTTTAAACCATTTCTAAAAAGAATCTAGCTCCCTTCTTTGATGGACAGATTGCAAAAGGACAGTGCCTGCTTAGAGGCAGGTGTGAGAAAGAAAAGATAATAGTCCTTTAAAAGTTTGCAATGACAAGAGACACCCAGATTCTGTTCTCCAAATAGTTTCCATAAACAGAATTAAATACAAAGATTCCTTTGCTTCATAAATTTTAATAAATCAATAGAAAACATATTGCCAAACATTTAAACTCATGAGTTAGACATTCAAGAGAATAATTTTAAAAGCTACAACAAATCTTCAAAATTTCACAGTCGTTGAGACAAGGCTACTTTACCTTGAAACTTTCCTTTGACGTGGGAATCCAACGAAGCTTAAGTTTTTCTTGTTGAAGTCTAAGGGAAAAGAAATAATGTAACATTGAAATAGTTATGCAAATTGTTAAAAATCCAATGAGAAAAAACTCTCCAAACTCCTTTTGAACATACAATTTAAGAAAAAGAAAACCGTTAACCAAACAAAAAATAGAAATGCAAAAATGACACCTTCTAAGAATCAAATTCCACATGGAAATGTACATAGGCAAGTTTTGCTTTTCTCTTCCAGAAAGCAGCCAACATACTCCACGGGTAAATGAAAATAATAACAACAATAATAACAATAATACTTCTAACATAGTTAGTTCAATGTTACCATTTAAATTTTTTATGGCAGCAAGAATAACTCAAAGCTATTAAATACTAAATAACACAGCTATATACTCAGGAATAGAGAAGAAAAAAAGCAATTTTGGTCCAGGTAACGAGAAATGTTTGAGATGCCTTTAAAGAATGGGGGTGGGGTCTAAAGAGCAAAGGACAACTCAACTGTGTCTTTTGCTCTCATTAAAATCTAAACAATAACAACTAATAAAAATAACCATTTATTTGTATTTTGAAGACAAGATATGTATTATGTAAAGACAGCTGGTAACAATTCTATACAGGAAAAACACATCCCAAATGAACAGGTTAATCAAAACCAGGCACAGATAAAATTTACAACCAGTCTAATGGCATGTAATCTGTTTTACAGCCTTTGGCTTACAGCATTTGTTCACTAAGAAAACCACAAATAGACCATTTACAGAAACTTCTTCCCCTAAGGAAGTGCCTTTTGCTCTTTAATATTTAGGGGCAGAAGCCTGAGGAAAAATAAGTACAAAATATATCAGATGCTGACACTTCATTATCCATCAAAATACATCCTCAGTCCTGGAATTTGGAACTGTGGCCAACTAAAGAAATACAATAAAATGAGAGATATAATGCCAGTAAAACATCTAAGCTTTTCTCCTAACTATACAAGTTTCTTGTTATGTAATTAACAAAAGAGAAATCAATTCACAAAACTATCAAGTGCGGTAGGAGAAAATTCCTGAATCTGAGGTCTGAATTGTTCAAGTCACTTCCCAATAGTGCATTTGAGCTGGAAAACAGTTTTGATGTATCATGGCTGAGTTTCAAATGTGATACTCAAAACAACCTTAGCGTTTCATTTTTGTTCAATCAGTAAACTGAACATGCCACACCACTTCGGTAGTTAAATTGAAAGCATGTATTTTCCTCTGGGCTGGAAGAAAGCCACTGAAAAGACAGTATCTTCTTCCAAACTGTCTCACATGAAGAGTTAATAAAAAGACACTACGCACCACTGCCTACTGGAAAGAATTTAGTATGTATAGCATTTGATTTAGAAAAATATTTTAACTAAAGTGCAGCACGTCTAGAATTTGATCCAAAGTGTGGGCATTCTGATTGCATTTGCAATTTTTCCTACATAAAGGTTTCAGTGGTTTAGTAATAACTTTAACTTACCAAGGGAAAAAAAATTCACATTATCAACAGTCACAAGATAAGCTCAGTTACAAACTCAATTAGCTATTTAAAGTGTCTTTTGAGAAATGTGTATAAGTAACTGAACACAGGAGAATACATAGGGCAAAATAGAGGACCCCAAGCATTCATTATGTTATAAAATCCATACATAAGAGCATTTCATGTTTATCTTGCCTTACCTTGTTTCTCAGAGAATTTGAAAGCTCCCAAATAGCTGGAAAAACCTGGGCTTCTGAACATGGCTGCACACAGAAGGCTCAGTCACACAGCCTGCTCTACAGCTAATTCTCAGCCAGCAACGACCTTCGTCTGGTCTAAGCAAAACTGGGTTGAGATTTTTCACAGTGCAGGACTACAGCGACCAGGCACTTGTGTCTTTGAGCCTGTGGTACACGAGAAGCAAGAGGCTGCTGGCTGGAACAGCTCAGACCCCATAATCAGATTACGAACAGAAATTAAGCCTGGAGGCGCTGCAACAGACTGGAGCCCAGTGATGGGACGTGCGTGATGTAGATGACCAAGGCAAAGCCATGGCGCATCCCAGCATTTGCTCCGACTAAGGAGACAGTGCTGCAATCTAACCATCATCGGAGGAGTCAAATACAACTTCTTCTCCCTACAGACACACACACAGAGAAAAACCTACAGAGGCCCTCGTGTATTGGGAAGAAGGGACACTTGAGTGTTTCCAGGTTGCTCCAAGTCTGGCTTTGGCTAAGTTAAATGAAGTATTTCACCTAACAGAGAGCCAAAAACCCGTACTTAAGATTTATGAACAACATGTGAGTGAAACTGTGGGAAAAGAAAGGGCAGATATTACTAGAGATTCAAAATTTTAATCTGAGGTAGAAGCTATTAAGTTAAGCTTTGCCTATTAGATTGCCCCCTATTTAATTTTAACCACAGTATGTAGTCGGTGAGCTCAAGCAATGCTCATGCAATTCCAAGAAAAATTCGCAATAATCACAGACTGACTGTACAGAAAAATGGGACATTCAAGAGAACCAAGAGAAATGGTCTTATTTGAAAGCTAAGGAAATAGGGCTAGACAAGTAGCTTGCTCCTGGATAGACAACTGCTTGGTGATGGAGCTACGGGATCTTGGGGAGGTGGGTTCAAGACTGTGATTCACCACACCCCCACCCAGGAGCAGGGACTCTGAGTTTGTCTTTATATCTTTAGTTCTGGACACTACCTGGTACACAGTAGGTCTGCAGGAAATGTTTGCTGAATGAACATAGGAAACCATGAGATAATCTCTTCTAAAAGCTAGAGATCTCTCTAAAATGGGTGCGTGGAGTTAGTATCCTGTGTTCAAATCAGGTGGACTTAGACTAATTTGTAAAATACAAGCACACTTAAAGTGAAAATGAAGAATTATATGCCGAATTAATAAAGACACATAAACACAAGGTACATCAACCCTGGGTACTAGAGGGGTCAGTGTTGGCATTTTTGCCATTTTTCTCTACATTCATTACATTGTAGTCATACAGTCAGGAAAAACTATGGCAAATAGGATAGTTAAAAAAAACTCAGCAAGGAACAACGTACCTTGGATAACTAAACCAGAAACTTCATGGTAAGGTCATAGATAATTAGCAACAAAAAGAAAAAAGGGAGTATTGGGAGGAGAAGAGGAAGGGGAGGAAATAGCAGAAGCAACTGATGTGGAAATAAAGAGATGAACCAGGCATGGTGGCTGACGCCTATAATCCTGAAATTTTGGGAGGCCAAGGCAGGAGGATCACTTGAGTCCAGGGGTTCAAGACTGGCCTGGGCAACATGGCAAGGCCCTGTCTCTAAAAAAAATAAAAAATGAGCTGGGTGTGGTAGCGCACACCTACAGTCCCAGCTACTTGGGAGGCCGAGGCGGGTGGATCGCTTGAGCCCAGGAGGTCAAGGCTGCAGTGAGCCATGGTTGCACCACTGCACTCCAGCCTGGGCAACAGAGTGAGATCCTATCTCAAAAAAAAAAAAAAGAAAGAAAGAAAAAAAAAAGAATAGAGAGATAGGATGAAATAATATACATGTTGACATGTTGATAAATAATCCTTTATAAAGAATGTAACAGTTTATGGAACAGAGTGTCACTGCTCATCACCCTTTCTGTGCTTGAAAATTACTCTTCTTATAGAATTCTCAATTACAGTTATCCTAAAAGAATCTAAAGGCTTATTTTGAATTATTATTAAGGAATAAGTCTATTCTAATTTTTTTTTTCAAATTTTCCTGTCACTTGCTTTTCCTTTTCTTCTTTTTTTTCAACATTTATTTTAGATAAGGGGTACATGTGCAGGTTTGTTACATGGGTACATTGAGTGATGCTGAGGTTTGGGGTACAGTGGGTCCCATCACCCTGATATTGAGCATAGTACCCAATTGTTTGTTTTCCAGCCCTTGCCCCCTTCCCTTATTTGAAATTTTGAAAGTAAAATTCCAGTACAGAATTTTCTTAATTGTTGGGTGTTCTCTTTAAGTTGGTAACAGAGTCTTACCAGAATTCTTTGCCTCACCCATGGATTATGGTACAAAGCAAACTGATTTAAATATGACATAATTGTTGAAAGGAAAAAGCACAACATTCTTTATGAAATTATGGATATAAAATTTAATCTATTATTTAAGCATTCTATCAATATGAAACCAAATAAGACTGTGAAGAAAAACCTCTATTTTATGTTAATAGAAAGTATCTTTGAAAAATTTTCATTTACTCTCTAATAATTATAATGAATTATTATTTTTAATTTTTCCACTTGACATTCAAAAATTATTACTATTATTATTATCATTATTGTTTTAGGCTAGCTCATTCACACAGGAGAGCTACAAAATACCCAAACATTTCCTCACATCATTCTGTAGGTTAACATATTTATTTGCAGATAATTCTAAGTTGTGATTGTGACTTTTTTTTTCCCCACTCTGTCACCCAGGCTGGAGTGCAATGGCACATCTTTTGGGTCACTGCAACCTCTGTCTCCTGGGTTCAAGTGATTCTCCTGCCTCAGCCTCCTGAATAGCTGAGATTACAGGCGCGCGCCACCATG